TCTCATCAAATCCTAAGAATCCTCTGATCATTTCCTAATTGCTTACATGTTTGTCTGATTGATTTTTTTATAACTATAAATAAACAGTTTGTGCACTAGTTCCAGTTTCATCACCAGACTTCTTCCAGTACTTTTGTTTACACATATAAACCATTCATTGAAGTCTATTATTTATTATGCATAAATTATTTTTCTGCAGGGCAGACTTATAAAGCATATGAAATCATTGCTACTTTTTAGTGCCTAGCTTATTTGTTTCATGACATTTTAACACACAGACTGCATTCATTTCACCATTTTCTGAGAAATGGTATCAATGCTGCTTCTGGATGTTAGCTACTGATATTTCTGGAAAGAAATATGGGCTATAACAGGTTAAATTTTTTTAAGAGTTTGTTCCATGTGAGACTAATCGGGGGTAGGATGTTTACGAGGACGTTCCCTCTCCTACCACTTACTCGACTCAAGACCTTGAAGTCCGGTCTCGCTTGTCTAAAGGATGGGAAAAGGAAGGGTTAGGAGAAAGGATCGTTAGATTCTTTCACCTGTCAGGATCTGACACCAATCTATCAATTTATCGCGGATAGATGGGGAATTATCACGAGCGATCTCGTCGAGGACTTCGGGTTCAGTATGGAGTGGAAAATGTCGGAAGAAACGCACACCAATCCAAGTTCGTTAACAAAATACCCGTTTATTCCATACATTTATATATGGTTAATAATTAAAATACAAATCCCTCTCGGGGTTCAATCCGTATAGTTCATAAAGTAAAGGCAAAGTATAAAGTAGTCGCGCCCCTACCCGCAAGGTTCGAATATTCGAATATCGAGAGAGAGTTTACATATCATCACGTGTAGGATAAATACCTCGAATTATACAGGATGTAGTTTCTTGTTCTCCTGGGTTCGGAATATAGTCCAAAGTTCAAATCAGTCAAAGTTCAAAGTCTGTTGAAGACGGTGGCGATGAGAGGCAGGTAATCCACACAAACACAGTATAGAAAATAACTTTTTTCCCCCTGTGTCGTTATCGCACTTGTCTTTTATATGGGGGCTCTCTTTTCGAGATTTCCCCATGTACGTCACATCTTCGTTGACCACATGATCTTCGTTGACCACATGATCTTCGTTGACCAATGGTGGGCGAAGTGACAAACTTATGACACAACAATTAACTCATCTTCTACAGGGAAGTATTGTCGTGGGAACAGAGTTTTTATGACCGATTTTTATGAGAAAATTTGTCGGTTGTTTTTCCCTTTTTGTGTTAACCCTAACTTTTAAAAAAATCGGTTTGATTTTGGATCAAAACGGTAAATGAATGAACAAAATTAATATAACTATTCGAATCTCGGCCCTCTTAAATCCTGGCCCTCACATCCATATGTCATTCATACATTTCTGTCCTTCTGATATTTTCTTTATTGCATGAAAAATGTTATAATTTTTCCAAAATTTTCTCAATGTCTGATCTTTCTCAGTTCCCGCAATTGCTTGGGCAAAAGTGAATCTTAATGCACTTTGAAGTTTGCAATATACCCTTGATTCATCAGCTGTAGTATGCTTGTGATATTAGGTGGTAAATAAACCACTTTTATGTTTGAATGGGACTCTCCTAAGTGTGGAGGGTGACCTGGAGTATTGTCAAGAAGCAATACAATTTTAAAAGTAATGTCTTTTTCATCACAATATTTCTGTACTTCTGCAATAAAGCAGTTATTAAACCAGTCGTTAAAAAGGCATTGTATCATCCACACTTTCTTATTGGCACAATAACATAGTGGTAATGTGTCCTTGCTGATTTCCTTGAAGGCTCTTGGGTTTTGGGAATGATATATCATAAATGGCTTCAATTTATAACCAGCGACATTTCCACCCAATAAAAGGATAGCACAATCTTTAAATGCTTTAAAACCAGGCATGCATTTAGCTATTTTTTTGAATGCATGTTCATTTGGGCATTTTTACCCCAATACAATGCAGTTTCATCCACATTAAAAATTGTTCCTGCATATAATTTCCTTCTTCAAGCATTGCTTCAAAATTTGAAGCAATCCTTGAAGATTTCAGCAGCTTTTGAATCTGCACTTGCTGTCTCTCCACAAATCTTCACATTATGGAAGTTTTCACATTTTTTTAAACCTTTCAAACCAGCTGGAGCTTGCATTGAAATTTTGGTCATAATTGTCACCCTCCTTCTCCTTTAAATTTTTAAAAAGAATGCGCACTTTAGTTTGGATGGGCATGAGACTTAGTGGAACATTCTTTTGTAATAAATCTTCCATCCAAGTCTTTAAACATTTTTCCATTTCATGTATGGGACCATTTCGTTTTTTTTTGTGATGATGGTTGACTTTACTGATGCCAATCTCATTACTGCTTCACGAATTCATTCTTTGTCCTTTATATAACAAATACGTACTGAAAGTAGAATAAGTTGAAAAATAAACTACACCGATATAAATCCAGCAAATTTTAATAAAGTAAAAACGTTTTCAATCGTTTTTCAACGATCATCCTCAGTTACCAAAAATAGAACTTTAAATATAAAACGTAAAGTGCATTCGAACGGAAAACACCCTAGTGGACGAACTACAGAAAAATTAACAAACAAACAAAATAAATAGTGAAAAATTAATAATTGTAAAAGGACCTCCACGCATTAGACAATGACAACGCTGGATTTATATCGGTGTACTTTATTTTTCAATTTGTCCTTTATTATAGTTGAAACAATTGAATGCAACAATTTATGTTTACGTGACAAATTTGGCACTGTTTTGCTGCACTCATGCTGTTTTATTAATTTTATTTTCATCTTTAAGTCTATTGTCTTTCTTTTTCTTTCATTGGTCTTACTAGCCATTTTCGGACTAAAATATCACAAATCAATGTAAAATAAAGTATAGAATTTCCAATTTACACTGTGAGTAAACTACTTAAAACAATTTTCCACCTTACACAAGCACATGCAAAGGATAACTAACTGTACAACAAAACTAAAGATGATGCAATTGATTGCAGAAGCATGCAATCAATCGCCAGAAGCGTGAAGATATATATGTATATGATGTATATTTGATGAAAACTATAAAAAATTGATACATAAGTGCAAATGGTCGTAAGTCGAGGTGGTCGTAATTTGAGAAGTGACTGTGTTAGGTATAAATAAAACATTTTTGACATACTTTAACAGAAATAGTTTGTCAATAGTTTCTGAAGCCTGACTATCTTCAACCAATAAGATACAAGCCAAACTCATAGAAAATCAAACAAAAGCAGAGTGAAGATCTTAGTGAAGTTCTTTCCCAACCTCTGTCTCATTGAGTTGGTTTCCGTGTGTATCACGATTCGATGTAGTGATCCAGGTTCGATGGAAAGCACACCTCCACACTCAAATTGATAATATTTACAGTTTATTTACAGATTTCTATATGTAGAAGGTACAAGTTTGAAAACATAATATATGTACAGGATAACAATGCATGGTGACTCACATACTAGATTGGTTTCTGGAAACTTTTAAACTTTGAAGAGGCCTCAGTCAGCTTGTGGAGTTGGCTCAACTGCACGGTCAGTCCACTCTCCACACTAACCTGTCCCTGAGATGTTTACCAGAGGAGAACACTCTCTCTACGCTCAGCGGGTATTCCAAGTGCCTGAGACTACCATGTACCAGTCTCTTGCCCTTCTCTCTTCCTCTCTTGTTTGCCCTGCAATTTAAGGGTTTTTTTGGACAGGGACTTCCGACCAATCACAACCCCTTCTTGCCCGAACAGCTTACACTCGGGTCCGCCGTCATTTGACAAGAGTGAAGCTTACATAAACATCCGCCACTTGTTTACATTCAGTTGTTTACCATATGGCAAATGGTCTAACATCTGACTACAGCTGGGTCCAATTGACAAAGCTGGTGCTTTCTTTGTTTTCCCTCTGTTTACAAGTCAACACCTTACAAGTGGTATTACCCAACCGCACGTGGGTCCAATTGACAAGGTCGTGTCTCTTTTGTTCCCACTCTGCTAAAAGGTCAATACTTTACAAGCAGCATTAATTGCAACTGTGTGCTGTATTGCAAGAGATATTTATCAACTATAATTTATACTGTCAAAATGTTGTTATTGAGCTTTAAATTTGTAATTGATACTTCAGTCCATAATTTGAGATGTAGAGGTTTAGGAAGAAAATTATTTGAGATAAACACGGAAAATATATTGAATTTAGACTTAATATGCAGTATTTGTTTCTTGAGAGTATCATCACTTGTGGAAAATAATTTTATTCAATAGCAATAAAATTTATTTATTTTATAAGTAGTAGTAATATTTTTAAAACATAATAATTNTCTAACATCTGACTACAGCTGGGTCCAATTGACAAAGCTGGTGCTTTCTTTGTTTTCCCTCTGTTTACAAGTCAACACCTTACAAGTGGTATTACCCGACCGCACGTGGGTCCAATTGACAAGGTCATGTCTCTTTTGTTCCCACTCTGCTAAAAGGTCAATACTTTACAAGTAGCATTAATTGCAACTGTGTGCTGTATTGCAAGAGATATTTATCAACTATAATTTATGCTGTCAAAATGTTGTTATTGAGCTTTAAATTTGTAATTGATACTTCAGTCCATAATTTGAGATGTAGAGGTTTAGGAAGAAAATTATTTGAGATAAACACGGAAAATATATTGAATTTAGACTTAATATGCAGTATTTGTTTCTTGAGAGTATCATCACTTGTGGAAAATAATTTTATTCAATAGCAATAAAATTTATTTATTTTATAAGTAGTAGTAATATTTTTAAAACATAATAATTTTTGTAACATTATTATATTTTAAAAGTATGTTTTTGACTAAATGCTAAAATTAAACAATGAATATTGTATTTATAAGTGACACACTAATAAATTCTGTGTGTGTAAGTACATAATTTAAAATGCAAAGCTGAAAAATATTTAATCTTTTTATTTTAATTTTTTCAAATTTTTTCTGTCATGTTATGATTATGCTATTTTTACTTTTTTTAGCCTCATAGACCTAGACCAGAAGGAAAACGTCATAAAAAAGTGCGACAACCACACAACACTAGGGAAAGGTATCGACAAATGGCTAATGCACAAGAATTTATAGATAAAACTTATTCTCATATTCAGTATGGTGGAGTTGTTACAAGGTCAGCAAATGATACTACAGATGGAACAAATCATGGAGGACATTCTGTTCGGCCAAGTAGCTTAGAATTGCATTCAACATATATTGCAAATCATGAAACTGGTTATGTAGGTAGTCCAACACACCATTATCCATCTCCTCCAACTACTTATACAGAGCAATCGCAATCTCCTCAACATCATTTTCCACCGCCACCGTATACTGTTAATTCACCAGAAGCTCGAAATACACCTATTAGTGGCACACCTACTCGTTATGGGAATCGCATTAATTCTGCAAGACCATCTCAACCACCTCCAGCTCCACCTGTGTCTAATTCCTCAGGATCTAGTGGGACTTCCACTCCCACTATATCTGCAGGTGGTACTCCTTCAAGTGGTACAGGAAGGTATAGAGTTTCAAGTCATTCAAGAGATAATCTTCCTCCTCCTCCTCCACCACCCGAAAATACTACTGTTAATGGAATTCATCCTCCTTCTCTTTTTGTTACCCAGAAAGTTATTCAATCACAACCAGGATCTGGCCCACATACGCCAGTTCATAATTCTCATGTGGGATCTCGCCATGCAACTCCAACTCATCATTCCCACACGAATATTTCTAGTAGTCAAGTTCCTCCAACAGATATAGTCACTAATACCACTCCTGATGGTTTAGAGCTTCCACCACCTCCACCTACACCTGATAAAGATATCCTTCATACAGATAGTCATCTTGTTCCTTCACCTCCACCTCCTCCTCCTCCAGCTGTTAATGGATGTTTGCCACCACCACCACCACCCTTGCCTCCTCCAGATGATCTATCAAATGGTCCAGTTATGAGTGGAGATATTGTTCGTGTTCAAGAAATTGTCTCTCTTTCATCAGAATCTGCTAGCACAACATCTAGTGTAAGCAAAACTAGTGAAAATACAGATCCAAAATCTAGGTTACCACCAATTACTCAAACTGATGCAAGAAGTGATTTGTTGGCTGCAATTAGAGAAGGTAAGTAATAAATAATAATAATAAATATATATATATATATATAATGATGCAATTAAATGAAAATATTAACATAAGTTAAAGATATTGATGGGTATTGACATACTTACTCAGCACAATTGCAGATTTTGTGATTATGCTATCATCGTAAGTCACAGTTTTTGTAAAACACTTATGCTTGTGATTCCCAACTGTTATGCCATGAAGCTGTTCTAAATGTGCTTTAGAATGAATTAAAATGATAAATTTTAAAATTTGTAACAAAAATACTAAAATGTACTTTTATGCATTAACTATATTTCAAAAATTTGTACCAGCTAGCTATTTGTAGAGAAGAACTCTGCAATAAACTTGTTGGCTAGTTGTGTAATATTAATTAAAAAATGTTTAATAATCTATGAATGATTGTCTAAATATGCCAAGATTTCGAAAAGGTTGGGAACCATTGACTTAAGCACTCAATTTTTATGTTTGATGGTGATAATGATCACCATAAAAGTCCATCTTAAACATTATATAAGTCCATCTGTCTTGAAAGACTGTATTATGAGCTATGTGATTCTATGATTTTATATAAATATTAATAGAATTGCAGTTATTTTTAAGATAGAGGAACTTATTTCTCTCAACTTAGTAAAAATAAACATCTCAGTAAATAATATTATTGTTTATATATTTGGTTACTATTCTACAATTTTATAAGATCAAAATAGTCTATCATTTAGAAAAAAAATTATGAAACACATTTCACCAAGTTTCAGAAATTAGCAATATTTATATTTATAATTTCAATTTTGCATTGTAACATAAATATGTAGCTATTTTTAACTTACTCTATTATTTGCATTTAAATGCCTCATCTTATGATATATTTCATAAATTTTTAACTGTTTAATAATATGAAATAAGAAAATTCCAAATACAGTATTTAGATAAAGTATANTATATTCTTTATTGCATGAAAAATGTTATAATTTTTCCAAAATTTTCTCAATGTCTGATCTTTCTCAGTTCCCGCAATTGCTTGGGCAAAAGTGAATCTTAATGCACTTTGAAGTTTGCAATATACCCTTGATTCATCAGCTGTAGTATGCTTGTGATATTAGGTGGTAAATAAACCACTTTTATGTTTGAATGGGACTCTCCTAAGTGTGGAGGGTGACCTGGAGTATTGTCAAGAAGCAATACAATTTTAAAAGTAATGTCTTTTTCATCACAATATTTCTGTACTTGTGCAATAAAGCAGTTATTAAACCAGTCGTTAAAAAGGCATTGTATCATCCACACTTTCTTATTGGCACAATAACATAGTGGTAATGTGTCCTTGCTGATTTCCTTGAAGGCTCTTGGGTTTTGGGAATGATATATCATAAATGGCTTCAATTTATAACCAGCGACATTTCCACCCAATAAAAGGATAGCACAATCTTTAAATGCTTTAAAACCAGGCATGCATTTAGCTATTTTTTTGAATGCATGTTCATTTGGGCATTTTTACCCCAATACAATGCAGTTTCATCCACATTAAAAATTGTTCCTGCATATAATTTCCTTCTTCAAGCATTGCTTCAAAATTTGAAGCAATCCTTGAAGATTTCAGCAGCTTTTGAATCTGCACTTGCTGCCTCTCCACAAATCTTCACATTATGGAAGTTTTCACATTTTTTTAAACCTTTCAAACCAGCTGGAGCTTGCATTGAAATTTTGGTCATAATTGTCACCCTCCTTCTCCTTTAAATTTTTAAAAAGAATGCGCACTTTAGTTTGGATGGGCATGAGACTTAGTGGAACATTCTTTTGTAATAAATCTTCCATCCAAGTCTTTAAACATTTTTCCATTTCATGTATGGGACCATTTCGTTTTTTTTTTGTGATGATGGTTGACTTTACTGATGCCAATCTCATTACTGCTTCACGAATTCATTCTTTGTCCTTTATATAACAAATACGTACTGAAAGTAGAATAAGTTGAAAAATAAACTACACCGATATAAATCCAGCAAACTTTAATAAAGTAAAAACGTTTTCAATCGTTTTTCAACGATCATCCTCAGTTACCAAAAATAGAACTTTAAATATAAAACGTAAAGTGCATTCGAAATAAATATTAAAAAATAAAAATTAACGGAAAACACCCTAGTGGACGAACTACAGAAAAATTAACAAACAAACAAAATAAATAGTGAAAAATTAATAATTGTAAAAGGACCTCCACGCAGTAGACAATGAGTCCGTGTCCCTATGGTTTATACAACCAGTTCTCACGTGCGTCTTATAGATTTCCAATCTCCTCAGATGTTTGATTATTTGCCTATTAGTCGTCATTTTTATAATTGCCTCTTGATCCCATTGCATGTTAATATTCTGTTGCCTTGTGTAGGATGCCAATGTTTTGATTCCAGGGTGGTTTATGTGGGTGTGACGAATGCGTGGTTTGAAACAAAGGCTCAAGGAACACAAATATACAATCAATAGGAACCTTGATAACACTGTGTTAGCATCCTACACAAGGCAACAGGATATTAACGTGCAATGGGATCAAGCGGCAATTATAAAAATGACAACTAATAGGCAAACAATCAAACATCTGGAGAGATTGGAAATCTATAAGACGCACGTGAGAACTGGTTGTATAAACCATAGGGACATGGACTCATTGTCTACTGCGTGGAGGTCCTTTTCAATTATTAATTTTTCACTATTTATTTTGTTTGTTTGTTAATTTTTCTGTAGTTCGTCCGCTAGGGCGTTTTCCATTAATTTTTATTTTTTAATATTTATTTCGAACGCACTTTATGTTCTATATTTAATGTTCTATTTTTGGTAACTGAGGATGATCATTGAAAAACGATTGAAAACGTTTTTACTTTATTAAAGTTTGCTGGATTTATATCGGTGTACTTTATTTTTCAATTTGTCCTTTATTATAGTTGAAACAATTGAATGCAACAATTTATGTTTACGTGACAAATTTGGCACTGTTTTGCTGCACTCATGCTGTTTTATTAATTTTATTTTCATCTTTAAGTCTATTGTCTTTCTTTTTCTTTCATTGGTCTTACTAGCCATTTTCGGACTAAAATATCACAAATCAATGTAAAATAAAGTATAGAATTTCCAATTTACACTGTGAGTAAACTACTTAAAACAATTTTCCACCTTACACAAGCACATGCAAAGGATAACTAACTGTACAACAAAACTAAAGATGATGCAATTGATTGCAGAAGCATGCAATCAATCGCCAGAAGCGTGAAGATATATATGTATATGATGTATATTTGATGAAAACTATAAAAAATTGATACATAAGTGCAAATGGTCGTAAGTTGAGAAGTGACTGTATTAGGTATAAATAAAACATTTTTGACATACTTTAACAGAAATAGTTTGTCGATAGTTTCTGAAGCCTGACTATCTTCAACCAATAAGATACAAGCCAAACTCATAGAAAATCAAACAAAAGCAGAGTGAAGATCTTAGTGAAGTTCTTTCCCAACCTCTGTCTCATTGAGTTGGTTTCCGTGTGTATCACGATTCGATGTAGTGATCCAGGTTCGATGGAAAGCACACCTCCACACTCAAATTGATAATATTTACAGTTTATTTACAGATTTCTATATGTAGAAGGTACAAGTTTGAAAACATAATATATGTACAGGATAACAATGCATGGTGACTCACATACTAGATTGGTTTCTGGAAACTTTTAAACTTTGAAGAGGCCTCAGTCAGCTTGTGGAGTTGGCTCAACTGCACGGTCAGTCCACTCTCCACACTAACCTGTCCCTGAGATGTTTACCAGAGGAGAACACTCTCTCTACGCTCAGCGGGTATTCCAAGTGCCTGAGACTACCATGTACCAGTCTCTTGCCCTTCTCTCTTCCTCTCTTGTTTGCCCTGCAATTTAAGGGTTTTTTTGGACAGGGACTTCCGACCAATCACAACCCCTTCTTGCCCGAACAGCTTACACTCGGGTCCGCCGTCATTTGACAAGAGTGAAGCTTACATAAACATCCGCCACTTGTTTACATTCAGTTGTTTACCATATGGCAAATGGTCTAACATCTGACTACAGCTGGGTCCAATTGACAAAGCTGGTGCTTTCTTTGTTTTCCCTCTGTTTACAAGTCAACACCTTACAAGTGGTATTACCCGACCGCACGTGGGTCCAATTGACAAGGTCGTGTCTCTTTTGTTCCCACTCTGCTAAAAGGTCAATACTTTACAAGCAGCATTAATTGCAACTGTGTGCTGTATTGCAAGAGATATTTATCAACTATAATTTATGCTGTCAAAATGTTGTTATTGAGCTTTAAATTTGTAATTGATACTTCAGTCCATAATTTGAGATGTAGAGGTTTAGGAAGAAAATTATTTGAGATAAACACGGAAAATATATTGAATTTAGACTTAATATGCAGTATTTGTTTCTTGAGAGTATCATCACTTGTGGAAAATAATTTTATTCAATAGCAATAAAATTTATTTATTTTATAAGTAGTAGTAATATTTTTAAAACATAATAATTTTTGTAACATTATTATATTTTAAAAGTATGTTTTTGACTAAATGCTAAAATTAAACAATGAATATTGTATTTATAAGTGACACACTAATAAATTCTGTGTGTGTAAGTACATAATTTAAAATGCAAAGCTGAAAAATATTTAATCTTTTTATTTTAATTTTTTCAAATTTTTTCTGTCATGTTATGATTATGCTATTTTTACTTTTTTTAGCCTCATAGACCTAGACCAGAAGGAAAACGTCATAAAAAAGTGCGACAACCACACAACACTAGGGAAAGGTATCGACAAATGGCTAATGCACAAGAATTTATAGATAAAACTTATTCTCATATTCAGTATGGTGGAGTTGTTACAAGGTCAGCAAATGATACTACAGATGGAACAAATCATGGAGGACATTCTGTTCGGCCAAGTAGCTTAGAATTGCATTCAACATATATTGCAAATCATGAAACTGGTTATGTAGGTAGTCCAACACACCATTATCCATCTCCTCCAACTACTTATACAGAGCAATCGCAATCTCCTCAACATCATTTTCCACCGCCACCGTATACTGTTAATTCACCAGAAGCTCGAAATACACCTATTAGTGGCACACCTACTCGTTATGGGAATCGCATTAATTCTGCAAGACCATCTCAACCACCTCCAGCTCCACCTGTGTCTAATTCCTCAGGATCTAGTGGGACTTCCACTCCCACTATATCTGCAGGTGGTACTCCTTCAAGTGGTACAGGAAGGTATAGAGTTTCAAGTCATTCAAGAGATAATCTTCCTCCTCCTCCTCCACCACCCGAAAATACTACTGTTAATGGAATTCATCCTCCTTCTCTTTTTGTTACCCAGAAAGTTATTCAATCACAACCAGGATCTGGCCCACATACGCCAGTTCATAATTCTCATGTGGGATCTCGCCATGCAACTCCAACTCATCATTCCCACACGAATATTTCTAGTAGTCAAGTTCCTCCAACAGATATAGTCACTAATACCACTCCTGATGGTTTAGAGCTTCCACCACCTCCACCTACACCTGATAAAGATATCCTTCATACAGATAGTCATCTTGTTCCTTCACCTCCACCTCCTCCTCCTCCAGCTGTTAATGGATGTTTGCCACCACCACCACCACCCTTGCCTCCTCCAGATGATCTATCAAATGGTCCAGTTATGAGTGGAGATATTGTTCGTGTTCAAGAAATTGTCTCTCTTTCATCAGAATCTGCTAGCACAACATCTAGTGTAAGCAAAACTAGTGAAAATACAGATCCAAAATCTAGGTTACCACCAATTACTCAAACTGATGCAAGAAGTGATTTGTTGGCTGCAATTAGAGAAGGTAAGTAATAAATAATAATAATAAATATATATATATATATATAATGATGCAATTAAATGAAAATATTAACATAAGTTAAAGATATTGATGGGTATTGACATACTTACTCAGCACAATTGCAGATTTTGTGATTATGCTATCATCGTAAGTCACAGTTTTTGTAAAACACTTATGCTTGTGATTCCCAACTGTTATGCCATGAAGCTGTTCTAAATGTGCTTTAGAATGAATTAAAATGATAAATTTTAAAATTTGTAACAAAAATACTAAAATGTACTTTTATGCATTAACTATATTTCAAAAATTTGTACCAGCTAGCTATTTGTAGAGAAGAACTCTGCAATAAACTTGTTGGCTAGTTGTGTAATATTAATTAAAAAATGTTTAATAATCTATGAATGATTGTCTAAATATGCCAAGATTTCGAAAAGGTTGGGAACCATTGACTTAAGCACTCAATTTTTATGTTTGATGGTGATAATGATCACCATAAAAGTCCATCTTAAACATTATATAAGTCCATCTGTCTTGAAAGACTGTATTATGAGCTATGTGATTCTATGATTTTATATAAATATTAATAGAATTGCAGTTATTTTTAAGATAGAGGAACTTATTTCTCTCAACTTAGTAAAAATAAACATCTCAGTAAATAATATTATTGTTTATATATTTGGTTACTATTCTACAATTTTATAAGATCAAAATAGTCTATCATTTAGAAAAAAAATTATGAAACACATTTCACCAAGTTTCAGAAATTAGCAATATTTATATTTATAATTTCAATTTTGCATTGTAACATAAATATGTAGCTATTTTTAACTTACTCTATTATTTGCATTTAAATGCCTCATCTTATGATATATTTCATAAATTTTTAACTGTTTAATAATATGAAATAAGAAAATTCCAAATACAGTATTTAGATAAAGTATATTAAAAATAAATTTTTAATTGCAAAGAAAACTTCTCTAGTTAAAATACATGTACAAAAATTAGTGCCTGCTACTATATATAGGCACATCTTTTTGTAGGCAAAAATCTACCAAAAAAAAAGACTAAAAAGTGCTCCTAAAAATATATAAAACTAATTTTATGCACATAAAAGTATACATAATGAATATGAATATGAAAACTTGAGAAAATGATAGAAAATTCAAAACAGTAACTTTCAGAATTTGATCTGTCAGTTTTGAAGTTTGCAAACAGAAAAACATTGTACTTCAAACACAGTTTTTTTACATATCTCCATGGTTAGTCACAGACATTATGAGAAAAGTAAGTCTTTGAACTGTAAGAATGATCTCTCAACATCAACAGATGTGAGAGGTGCATATTTGGTTTTCACTAAAAATTCCAGGTTTTGTGAGTGAAGAAACTCAAGAATTGTATTTTGAATATCTAGATTTTTGTTCAGAAAGCATTCCAGTTTATCTAAATCAAATCCATCAATTGGTTTTTGGTATGTTTAAAAATTTTTCACTGTTTCTCAATAGACAGACTACTTTCTTGAAGTGTAGAAACTGAAATGCATAGGAACTTGTTTTGAACAGTGTACAGTTCTTTTAACAGTTTTTTGTCACAACAGACTCTTGAGTTTCATTCAGGCTGCTGAAGACTTTCTAAAAAACTCATCAAATCCAGCTTTTGTTAGTAATGACAATAAATAGCCTTATCTTCACACTAGCAAATAATTTAATATACAAATGTTTTTGACCTATTAATAGGCTTGATCAGGTCTGATGTATTTGAGAACTCACATATATTCTAAAAGTAGAACATGTAAATGCATCAACCTGATTTGGTCTATTAATAGGTTGAAAACATTTGTATATTTAATTATTTCTTGGTATGAAGATAAGGCTCTTTTTATGAAGAGTATTTATCCAGTTTATCAATAAATGTTCTCAACAGATTTATAAATATAAATAGAAAAATACACAAAATACCCAATTTAAGTACAAAAAAGAGGTAGAAAGTATCAAAAAGTGCTCAGTGATAAAATAGTTGGAAAAAGAGGAACTAATCTCAGAAGATTGTAAACTTAAAAAGTACCATATTTTAGTATATTGGGTTGTTCGGAAAGTAATTTTGTTTTTTTTCCATGGAAAAAGAAAACAATATTTTTATAATAAATAAATATTTTATTGAATTATATATCTACCATTTTGGTCAAATACCTGTTGTCATCATTTCTGGTAGTAGCATGATTTTACATTCATAAAAGTTTTGATCGTTGCTTACAAAAAACTAATCCAAGTGATTTTTGACATTGTCATTTCAAGTAAATGTCTTAGTTAAAAAAAATTTGTATAGACCAGAACAAGTAATAATCTGAGTGTGCTCAATCTGGCGAATATGGTTGCACGTCCCATCTAAATTATAACAGTTTCTGACCAGTTACCAAACTTGTGTGAAATTTGACATTATCGTGGTAAATCACTACACCTGTTTTGTTGATCAATTCTGGCTGCCTTTTCTGTTTGATGATATTATTGAATTTGTTTACTCGATGGCAGTACACTTTCGAATCAATTGTTAAATTGTCTGATAAAAGCTCCAAAAAAAAATTTCCTTAAAATCCTACCAAAGAGAGCACCTGTCTTTAAGAACATGTGGAACCCATATATCAAGCTTTGAAATGAAACCAAGTTGTTTCAAGTGGTCATAAACGATTGAATTGGACAAATTTAATCTGTTAGTGATTTCTCTTGTTGTTATTCGGCAGTTTGCTTCAATCAATGCCTTTATTTTGTCTTCATCAGCTTCAACTGGCCATCCAGAACGTGGTGCATTTTCAATATTGAAATTGCCAGAACAAAATTTTGTAAACCAGTTTTGGCACTGTCATTCTGTCAATACATCTTCTCCATACACGTCACACAATTTTTTTCTTGCTTGAACAGCATTCTTACCTTTTCGATAATAAAAGAGCAAAATATGATCTTCTGATCTTCCATATTTGATGGGACCCAAAAAATAAACAATTGCACAAAATCAAACAAAATTTTTTACAAATAAGCCTTAAAATGCTAGCTGTCAAAATATATAATGATGATACAGTTTAGAATGAAAATGGCAGGAAAAATATGACTAATCCCTCTAGTGGTAAAAAAACGAACTTACTTTTCGAACAACCTAATAGTTTGAAATTCAATGTGTAGAATTAATCTTTTGAATAGCGTTACTGTAAGTTAAGCATTGTCTATTCTTTTCATTTATTATAAGAAAAAGAAAGTTAAAATTAAAATAGCAACATGATTTATTTTCTTCTGTCAAATTTATTGTCTTTTAATAGATTATTTAATAATGAATAATGATGATAATGAGCAATATTGTAGGAATAACAAAATAAATACTTGCACTTGCACTAGATATATTGTATTATGAACAGTGCAGAACAAAATACAAAAATAAATTACATATTCTATAAATTTTGTAACACAAAAGCACTGAAAACAATATTATAAATTAAATATTTCAAATCTAAACAATTATCAAATTAAAAATTAAGCCATTCCTGCTACTAATAATTATTAAATGCTGAGTAATTTTGCACTAGAGGTAGGCATTAGGTGCCATCTTGTATTAAAATTACTCAGTATTTAATAATTATTACTAGTGGAAATGCAGCCTGATCTAATCTGGTAATTGTTTAGCTTTGATATGATCATCAAGCTTTAAGATGATTTAATATTTCAATAGATATATGTATTGTAAAATAATGAAAATGTATACTGTTTACTGATGCAGCACTCTATAAAATAACAGTTTGTGTTAGGCTTATAAAATTCTACTTATTATACTGATGATAAACATGTAATTCTTCCTTTCATAGCTATGTAGTTTTAAGAATATAGCTTGTAATTCAGAAATGTTATGTGCAATTGGTCTTACTTTAAACAGTTCAGCAATTTAAAAAAAGTTTTATCTGAAATTTAAATTTTTGGCATATAAAATTATCTTTTAAAATCAGAAAGAATAATTTTCTAGATATTCAGTATAATTTTTTTTTGCAGATTTTGTGATTATGCTATCATCGTAAGTCACAGTTTTTGTAAAACACTTATGCTTGTGATTCCCAACTGTTATGCCATGAAGCTGTTCTAAATGTGCTTTAGAATGAATTAAAATGATAAATTTTAAAATTTGTAACAAAAATACTAAAATGTACTTTTATGCATTAACTATATTTCAAAAATTTGTACCAGCTAGCTATTTGTAGAGAAGAACTCTGCAATAAACTTGTTGGCTAGTTGTGTAATATTAATTAAAAAATGTTTAATAATCTATGAATGATTGTCTAAATATGCCAAGATTTCGAAAAGGTTGGGAACCATTGACTTAAGCACTCAATTTTTATGTTTGATGGTGATAATGATCACCATAAAAGTCCATCTTAAACATTATATAAGTCCATCTGTCTTGAAAGACTGTATTATGAGTTATGTGATTCTNTTATTCTAGTGAATATACTTTAAAGCATATGTGAATTTATAATTTAATTTATTATTTCTAGGAATTAAATTAAGAAGGGTGGAAGATATTAAGCAAAAAGAAGTAGAAAAAGCTGCACCTCTTCATGATGTTGCCTCAATATTGGCCCGAAGAGTTGCAATGGAATTTTCTGATTCTGAATCAGCTTCCGAAAGTGAATATGACAGTGATGGATGGGATGATGAAACAGAATGCTGAAAATAAATTGCGCAGGTATGATATATGAAAATTGATTTTAAAAAATTAGGATAAATTTCTAAATGTAAATAAATTGAAATACATTTTTAACACTATCATAGTATACATTCAATATCACAACACATATTTATTGTTAAAAAATAGTACTTCTGCACATTATACATTGTAAGCACAAAAGTATTATTTTTAAATACAATTTTTAAATTTTTGCGGTATCATCAAATGTGCAGCCTGGTTTAAACTGACCTTATGCTGAATTTCACAGTTCTGCCTTTACTCTTTATTACACAAAATTATAAAATCGCCCACATGTGCTCTTCCTGTCACACAGAGAGTATCTAAAAGCTGTTCAGTTTTCTGCAGAAGTTGAGTGGAGAGTTTTAAGTTGCTTAGCTGCCTGATGAACGGACTTCATAGGCTTCCTTCGTAAGCCTACCTGATTGCCTCCACACTCCTGTCTGACAATCAGGATTTCCCACCTCCATTATATTTCAACACATTTCCTATGGACAAGAACTGTTTCTTCCATGCTTTGATGATGTTTCATGATAGAGGATTCTTTCCAAACACAGTGAAAGTTTTGCTGTTCTTGAAGAATGAAATTTCTCTCAGCATGCCACCAAACAGTTCATGCTTTCTCTTGAGTTAATGTCATTTTGTCAGTCACAACTGTAACATCACAGTTGCTCTTCATGCAATGTATTAAGTGTTTTTGTCATTAGGAATATTGTGATTTTGAAAAACATTAACAGAGTATTTTTTTTATTTATTTGTCAAAACTGTGTCTTCTTCTTATTTCTTCTAATTCAATGTCACAGCTTGGTGCATTTTTCAACACTTGGCAAATAATTTTATCATTCGCTTTTAATTCATGCAGATATGCATTTCAAGCTTTCACCCCTCTTCAGCTGTTACATAGATAGATTGTATCTTGTGTATACAGTATCTGTCAGGCACCTTCTGTACTTCCCACTCCCCTTCCCGTCCCTCCCCTCCTGACTTGATGGCCTCCCCTGCATGCCTCGTAACTTATAACATTCACTCCCCAAGTGTCGGAGACAGCCTCACCTGCGACTGTATAAACATTCTATTTTAATAATTGTAGCCAGTTTTTATGAATGTCAATGCTTAGATTCTTGTTAATATTATTTTTGTCTGTAGTAATTTCATAGCTTTCCTTGAATTTTCTTTTGTACAATTATTAAAATAGAATGTTTATACATTCACAGGCGAGGCTGTATGCGGCACTCGGCGAGTGGGACTTTACAAGTTACGAGGCATACGGGGAGGCCGTCAAGTCGGGAGGGGGAAGGGAAGGGGAGTGGGAAGTACGGAAGGTGCCTGACAGATACTGTATACACAAGATACAACCGATCTATGTAACATACTGAAGAGGGACGAAAGCCCGAAACACGTATCTGTATGAATTAAAAGTGGATGATGAAATTATTTTCCAAGTGTCGAAAAATGCACCAAGTCATGACATTGAATTAGAAGGATCAAGAAGAAGACAGGGTTTCGACAAATAAATAAACCAAACAATTAGTTAAGACATGCACAATGGAAACTGGAAGTTAATAGGATTGATTTTGATTAAAAATTTGTAGTTTTATGAAATATTGAAGAAATTAAAAATANTTTATAAAAATTTCTCAATAGCAAGAGTGTCTGAACATTAGGGCATATACTCCCCTTTTTTGTCTCTGTTGCCCTTTTCCTTCTAGCCTATTCTGCAAATACAAAAGAAACTAATGAACAATATTTGTCCATTGACCCATGTAACTTTGTAGTATGTTGACCAAAACCTTGTTTCTTGTTTTCAAGGCCAAGTTAACCCCAAGTGCAACCTCTGCCACCTTGTGTGAGTGCTGATCCAACATTGAATCCAACATACAATGTCCTTTTAATTTCACAGCTGTTACACAACAACAATACATAACAAGGAAAAGTATTGGAATCATGTCAAATTCGACCTTCTGCGTATTTTTCAAATCTCCATGTTTTGAGACTTCCTGAATCCAAAAAAGTTGAAAAAATGGCAAAAAAATCCATGTATGTGTGTGTTAGTTTCTGTTTCACTTAATATCTCAGGATGGGGTAAATATTAAGTAACGAAATTTGGCATAGTGGCTTGTATATGAGGAGCATTGATGATATTAAATTTTGGTGATTAAAGGCTGAGAGGGTATGGAAATAAAGGGGGGTCATATGTAACTCCAGTAGGATCAGACTTAATGACAATTTTACTTGTTATTAGCATTTACAATTTTTTTTATAAAGCCCATCCTTATCCTGAAAATTAAGCTTTTTGCTATTTTACAGTAATTAAAAATATAAAGTTTTCAATAATAAAATATCATAACAGATGGCACCACACCTGCAGTTTTAAATGTTGCCAGGAAAGTTAAGCAACTTGTTACTGGATTTTTATAACTTGTGTCCTCCTTTTTCATAGTCTGTAGGTGCCACTGCTCAATAGGCTTAAACAGTTCTTGTCACATTTATACAGTTGTCAGCTTTTAATGAGAAAAGCACATGTGCGTAAACACACATGCGCGCACACAAACACAATCTTATAATTTAAAGGTAAAATTTGAATTGTCATTTTCTAATTTCAAACTAGAAAAAGGAATAAACTTGCCACAACTTGATACACTGCTCATGTTGATTTAGTTTAAAGTGATACCTATTGGTTCTGGTCTGATTGTTTGAATTTCAAGCTGTTAAATTAATTAGGAAATTTTCTTATTCAGTCTGTTTTACTAATGATATCTGTTTTAAAGGGATCATTAGTTATTTCATAAATTAATAAGCATTTCATTTTGTTCATTAATTATATTCCTAAGAAGTTTGTCTTAGTTGGCATCATATAATATATATATATATATATATATATACTTTCCTAGTATGTTTTTAGAGTTTATTAATATTGTTGTATGGATTCTAATCTCATCCAGGGCCAAGAACATTTTCATAAGGTATTTCTTTTTAATAGACATATTCAATCTGCATAAGAAATATTAAATTTATATTATTAATTCTGGTTTATACTATAGTATATATATATAAACTAGAATTATCATTGTAAATTGAAAATAATAATGATCACATACATAGTTAAGTCATATTAATATGATTATTACCTACTTTTGATTTCAGCAGCATATAGCCAATGAAATAAGTCACATATTGCAAACTGGCTTGGTATGTGAATAAGATTCAAGCAATGTACAAATGTATCAATCATTGCGTGGTAAAATGCACTATTTATCAGATGTGCAAAAGGGCTTTAGGGCTAAGGGTTAGTGGCTTTAGGGCCATAGCTGACAGTATTTCTGAAATTGTACAGTTTGTGAACTGTTCTTGTGTTGCTGTGGTTAAATTGTACTATGATTGGACAAACAGCATGGAAACTGTGAAGCACTGTGTGTCATTGCTGTGAGATGTGAACTCAGCTTCAAAGGTATGTGAGGGCCAGCTGACATGCTACAGTTGAGTAAAGTACCACCCAAATGAACCAGGGGACTACTGGACAGGTCTAAACTGACAATACAGCAAACCCTGTTGTATATGGGGCTCCAAAGCAGATGGATGGTCACTGCACCCATGCTGACAAAGGTGCATAGGCAGAAATGGCTTCAATTTTTACAGCAGTTCTGGAATTAGATCTCTTCTGAATGGCCCGGGAAAATATGACTTATTTTTTCCAATGAATCACATTGCCATGTCAAGCAAGAAAACCTCTGAGAAGAAACACACTGTAACCATTGAAGAACAAAGTTGATGGCAGCAGTGTAATGGTCTGGGAAATGTTTTGTTGGCATTGTCTGAGCCACTCATACCTCTGGAAAGCACACACAACCAAATTGGTATATATTCTTCCTTGCAGATCAAGTTCATTTATACATGTTTGACTGATTGTTTGAATTTCAAGCTGTTAAATTAATTAGGAAATTTTCTTATTTACTCTGGTTTCTCTGGAATGGATGAGATCCTTTAACACAATGATGAGACATGTCATATGGCCAGAATTGTCTAGGAATGGTTACTTTAGTTTACTTTATTGGAAAGGAATAGAAGCCCAACCTTACAGAATAGCCTTTGAAAAGGAAGGATGAAGAGTTTTAGAGGAAGTGAAAAGGAGGAAGAAAAGAAAAGACTTAGGAAGTGTGAAACATGAGATCTCAGAGTGCCCAGTCAGTTCCATTTAATTGAAATTAACAAAATGTACTAAACATGGGGCATAGCCCATAAGTAAACAGTGAATATAAAGGAATTACAGAAAGGCATGGACGCCCAAGGGGCTGCCTCTGGTGAGGCAGGTGCAGCAATATACAAATAGCAGCAATGCAAATGGCCAGACACCTAGTGGTGACAGTGGGGCTGCCAAGTAACAAACAAACCTGAAACAAAATTTACATGAAAATAATAAAAACAAAAGGAAATGGTACAAATACAAGTGGTTGAGCACTTCTCAATCTAGGACCCATGAACAGCCTGCACTTGGCCCAGTGGGTTAACAAATGGTGGGCCTGCAGATGACAGCAACCCGGAAGGGTAAGCTCTTCGCTACTGGGAACAGCCAAAAAAAACAAAACCATAAAAACAAATAAATGTGTATGTACAAAAGATGGGTGGGAGAACGCATCCCAATCTTGGGCCCATAAAACGGCCTATACTTAGACCCAATGGGTAAACAAACAGTGAACTCCAGATGAAGACCAAGTACTTCCCAAACCTTGTAATTCCTCAGATTTGAACCCAATTGACCACATTTGGGTCCATCTCAATTATCACGTTCACTGTATGGATCCTCCACAATGCACCCTTTAGAAGCTGTCAGACACACTGCAATCTGTATGACAACCTTCCAGCATCTTATTAAATTACTCCTATACTGTCTAGCTGCTGTTCATGCTGTATAAGGTAGCATATTAGTCAGCAGGTTATAATAAAGTGGCTTGGTTGTGTATATACAGGGTGTTTCACAGCCTCTCCACAAAGTTTTTTTGAATAACTTTTGAACCGTGCAGTTTTCAACCTCAATTTTTTGTAGGTGGCGCTTTGAGCAAAAAGGAATGCTTCTATCACAAAAGCACATTGCTTCAAAACATTTGATTTTTCCGTAAGTGGTCTCGCCTGGCCACCCTACAGCCCTGATTTGAGTCCACTAGACTTCTTTCTTTGGGGATACATGAAGGATCAGGTGTTCAAGAATAACCCTACCACCTCAGTCAGATGAGAGAAAGTATCAAGAGCATCATGAAGGGCATCTCAGATCAGACCTGTAGTAATGTGATTGCTAATTTCCAAGAGAGACTGTGCTACTGCATCTAGACAGAGGACAGACATTTCAAAAATATCTTGCATTAATTTTTTTTCCATCTTCTATCTTTGCTGAAAATTTCATTAAAAAATTTGAATTTTCAAAAGTTATTCAAAAAAAACTTTGTGGAGAGGCTGTGAAACACCCTGTACATACACAGTGTTCCTTATACTTTGAATTTAATTCATTCCAGGAGGCCATTCAAAGTTTGAATCAAATTTTCTTATTAGAAATAATGGAAAGTTAACTTATCCATTCCCAGACCTTAAACAATTCCATTTTGATAAACATACAAGGTCTGTTCAAAAAGTATCGGACCTTTTTTTCTTCCACGTAAACCAATGATGCGAGAGAGGCCTCCTTCGGTGGAGTTGTGGAGGGGACAGCCATGCACAGCCCTGGATTTTTTCCCGCCTGCAGGAAGCGTCAGTCGTTGGCAATT